ATATATTTATATATAATGATATTAAACTTACAATACAGTAAAATATTAAACAATTAATTTAATTTGCAATCTACTATAATAAATTTTTGTGAGACTTGTTTTTCTTATATTACATTTATTTTTTTATCCTCCAAAAACTCTCGATACATACGCACACTATTTCATTCTTCATTTAAAGGATCTTTAAGCTTTATCATAAAGCATAAAAGTAAACAAGCAATCATAATTTAACAACAAACACAATTTCGAACTGAAAAATCCTAATCTTAAAATTGATAAAGAGGTCAAACATTTCAAAAAGATTCTAATTCCTTGTGCATTAAAATCTTTTTAAAAATTCTTTTTCCAAATTTTATGGAATTTTTAAAAGTATTATTTTATTAATTAGTAAATATATCTTATGATTGTATATTTTTATGTAATGAGTTGTGTGTATCTTTTACCTTCCAGGTGGGATATTCGGATCAATTTCCACTTTCGAAGCGTGCTCCGCAACAGCCTTGAGTCGTTCCTTGGGATCTGTAATACCCGTTTCCTTCCAAGGAAATTGCCTGTTCTTGTCCATTATTTTTAGGTTAGTACAACTATATTTCCAATACTGACAAGCGTTTGTGAAAAAAAAAGACAATCACTTTCTCCAAATTTTCTAACATCGAGGAATTTTTCAGATAATTTTATGGTGCCATTTTGATGTTCGAGATGGGAAAAAATATAATGATTGTTTAAGTTCTTTCGCTCTTTGATCAAGATTCAGACTCGCCGTACTTGACAATACTTATGTAGGTATATATAAATGATTATTTGAGTTCTGCTAGGTTAAGTATTCGATCGGCTACAGTAAGTTTTCTCTATTCTAAAATCTCCTTATTCTAAATTTTAAGATCTCCTTTATCTTAAGTCAGCTGTTTCGCGCGCATGTCATGTCAAACGTCAATACAAACTCTATAAAATTTTTCTCCGTTCTTCTGCTCTCTTTCTTTTTGTGTGTGTTTATTAATTTTTTTTTGTTTAACACAAAACACACACACACACACACACACACATGTGTGTGGAAAGAAAGAATAGATTGGGAACAATCAATTAGGTAGAAGTTTTATTGTAAGCAATTCTCTGCTAATTAAGATTATGAGTAACCTCACTATAGAAAATGAAGAAGATCTGGATAATGTATCTCCACCAAAACAAGCTAAAACTACATCTTTCCAATGTATGTTATAATAAATTATAACGTAATAAATTATACCATTTTATTATTGTATATATTTATTTATTTTAT